TGCAGATTCATCCATGTCATCCATGTAATGGTAGATTATAGATTTAGGAAATTGTTTACATATTATTTTTAATGGCTGACTGACAAAGTATTGGCACAGGGTAGGGCTATTGAGCATTCCCTGTGGGAGGATAATCTATTGGTATCTCCTAGTAGGCTGAGAATTATTATTATAAGTAGGCACTTTGAAGGCAAATTTTTCTTTATCCTTTTCTTGTAAAAGTATAGTGAAGAAACAATCCTTCAATAACTATAAGAGGACATCCCTTTGGTAACAGAGAAGGCAGAGGAATTCCCAATTGTAGAGGGCCCATAGGTTGAATAACCTTGTTGGTAGCTCTAGATCTGTAACCATTTTCCATTTTTCAGATTTCTTTTTAACAACAAATATAGGAGGATTCCAAGGACTGGTATATTTTTTCATGTGGTGAGCATCTAGTTGCTCCTGTGCCAGCTGTTCTAAAGTCTGTAGCTTTTCTTCTGTTAAAGGCCATTGTTTAATCCATATTGGTTTTTCAGTTAACCATTTTAAAGGTAGGGCCGTTGGTACCTCTAAAGGTTTGGTATTTGCTGTATGTTCTTGTACAGCCTGAATGGCTGGTGACCTTTGTCTATAATACCTTATAATATCTTTCCCAGAGGAGATATTATTCCTAGGAATTCCTTGTCTACAATCCCTTCTCAGATATCCTGTTCTACCACAATTAAAACATTTGGCATTTTGGTGTCTCCCATACCATTGTAAATTGCTTCTCGTACCCAAGCTTCAGTACTATAGTCAAATGTCTCAACATTTATTGTATGTAAGATCCATTCATCTGTTGGTATTGGTTTGACCTTTAAAGGCCCAAGGATCATTTTTAATTATAAGTTGGCATTCTCAAAAGCCAAAGATTCAATTAATACATGTCTAACTTCTCAGTCTGTTACTCCTATTTGTACAGCCTTAATCTTTGTAAAACGTCACTAAAGGATTCTCTCTGACCCTGTTTAACCCTAATATATGATTTAATTCTCTTTTCTGGTTCCTTAATTCTGTCCCAAACATTTAAAGCCTGTGCCTCGTCTGAGCTTCCACCATGTGTCAGGAAAGCTGGACCCACAAGCCAGCTGTGCTGCAAGTGTCTGGGGACCCAGAGCATCTCCGAGACACTACCAGCACATAGGGATCCTACCCAAATGCACTACGGGGAACTTTGCAATGGCTGGCTGGAGCTACGGGGTACCTGAGCCCTACTTTGGATACAGGTTGAGAAATACCAGGCTAGCTACAAGATAGATCAATTATATTTTTCTTTATTATAAGGGGCAAACTCATCAAACAGGAACGAGAAGTCCAAGCTCATCTGTGTAGTGCAGGCACCACAGAGAGAGAGAGAGAGAACCCTGGTTGCCTGGCATTTTTCGCTGGGTACTTGAAACAAGCAAAAAACTAGCCAGTACAGTATCTGCTTTTGGCTACAAGATAGATTGGCTGAGCCTCTTCTGGTATACTGTTGCTTTTTCCTCATTCTTTGTCAGGTGTTACACTAATACATAAACTGTACATTTTGTTGTTTTGGTTTATTTATATATCCCTGGCTTCCCTGGAACTTTCTGTATAAACCAGGCTGATGTCAAACTTAAATTTCACATTTTTATTTTATGATGTTAGAGACTGAACTCAGGGCAAGAGCTGAACCACTAAACTATATCTCCAGCCTTGTGCTTTGTGGACTGGAGGACTCAGCATTTTCACTGAGTATAATTTCATCCAAGTTAAAATAGAGTCATCCAGGTTGTGTATCAATGATTTGTTTCTTTTTGTTTGTTTTTTCTTTTTTGAGACAGGGTTTCACTGTAGCTTTGGACTCTGTCCTGGAACTAGCTCTTATAGATCAGGCTGGCCTCGAACTCACAGAGATCCTCCTGCCTCTGCCTCTGCCTCCCAAGTGCTGGGGTTAAAGGTGTGTGCCACCCACCGCCCGGTTGATTTGTTCCTTTTTTTTAAAAATTACTATGTAATATTGCATGGTGTGGGTGAACCATAGTTTAACCATTCATGTGTTGGAGGGCATCCACTCTGCTTTCCCTTTTTATTGATGAGAAATAAAACTGCTATTAATTCTGATAATTTATATCTTTTTGTTTTATTTATGTACAAGATCTTATCACTTGTAATTAATGGTGATCTAATTTTTTTAAGTGTATGAGTGTTTTGCTTGCATGTATGTATATGCACCACATGCATGGAAGTCAGAAGAGGGTGTTGGATCCCCTAGGATTAGAGCTATAGACGGTTGTTTTGCTTCTTGGCCTTTTGGCTAAGAGCAAGTGTAGACGGTTGTGAGCTGCCATGTGGATGCTGGGAACTGAACTTGGGTCCTCTGCAAGAGCAAGTGATCTTAACCTTTGAGCCATCTCTCCAGCCCCAAATTACTGACAGTTTTATTTTGTGCTTTATAATTTATATGCCTTTTATTTTTCATGTCTTACTGAATTGACTGGAGCCTTTAGTACAATATTGACTAGAGGTGCTAATTGTGAATTTCCTTGTGTTACCTTAGAAGAAAATTTTCATGGTTAAGTAAGGTGTTTATTATAAAGCTATTAGGGTTTTAATTTAATTTTTTTAAAATTTATTTTTGGTTCTTCAGGACAGAGTTTCTCTGTATAACAGCCCTGGCTGTCCTGGAATTCACTTTGTAGACTAGGGTGGTTTTGAGTTTACAGAGATCCACCTGTCTCTGCCTCCCAAGTGCTGGGATTAAGGCGTGCGCCACCACCTCCCAACTTGACCTAATTTTTAATTTGTTTATTTATTCGTTGAGAATTTCATACATATATAAAGCATTTTTTGATCACATCCACAAGTTCTCTCTCCTGTGTCTCAGGCTGACCTCAGACCCACTACGTGTCTGAGGATAACCTTGAACTCCTGACCCCACCATGGATTATATTATCCATGCTGGGATTATAGGCGTGTCCCATTGCGTACTGTTTGTGTTGCCTGGAATCAAGCTCGGGCTACGTGGCATGCTAGGCAAGTACTGTACCACCTGATCTATGTCTGCAGCACTAAAGCTAAGGAGCCAGAGATGGCTTAGTGGGTGAAGATGCTTTCTGGCAAGCCTAACAATCTGAGTTCAATCCCTGGGAACTATATGATCACCAGATGTGCTGTGGCACACTCATGCCCTCCTACATACAATAAATAAATGTAATAAATTTTAAAAAGTTAACCCTAAGGACCTGTTAGTTATATCTCAATAGTAGAGTATTGCTTAACATGTACAAGGTCCTGGGTTTAATCATTAACATAGAAACAAACAAATAAAAAGCAAGTTAAGGACATTTTCTTGAGTCCTAGCTTTTTAAAAGTGTATGTAATGGCAATGACTGTTGAAAATGAAATGCTCTTCTTACAATGTTAGACCGACTTTACATTCCTGGAATGCACTGAACTTGATTATTGTATGTTTTTCTTTCTTTCTTTCTTTTTTCTTTTCTTTTTTTTCTCTTTCTTTCTTTCTTTCTTTCTTTCTTTTTTTTTTTTTTTTTTTGAGACCAAGTTTCTGTGTGTACACTTGGCTGTCCTGGAATTCACTCTGTAGACCAGGCTATCCTCAATGTTAGAATTCAGAATTCTGCCTGCCTGCCTCTGCTTCCTAAGCACTGGTATTAAAGGCGTGCACCACCATGCCTCGCTCTGTTTTTCTTTTCTATTCTTGAGTTTTATGCTGTGGTCTATAGTGAAATGACTTTTAATTTCCTATTCTTTTTTGTTTGTTTTTGGTTTTTGAGACATATGTAGCCCTAGCTGTCCTGGAACTCACTCCGTAGACCAGGCTGGCCTCAAATTTACTGAAGTCCACCTGCCTCTGCCTCCTGAGTGCTTGGATTAAAGGCGTGTGCCTCCACACTCAGTATTTCTTTTGATGTTCACCTGGATTCATATTTTTTTCTTGCCAGTTTAGATAATCTTTAAATTTTTTTAAGGGGGCTAGAGAGATGGCTTAGGGCTTAAGAGCACTGGTTATTCTTTCAGAGGATCCAAGTTCAAATTCCAGCACCCACATGGTGGCTCAAAACTGTAACTTTAGTCCCAGGAGGTATAGCACTCTCTTCTGGTCTCCACAGACGCTACATAAATATGGTATACACACATTCATGCATGCAAAACACCTATATATAAATAAAAATAAAGATTAAAAATATTTTTAAATGTATGTTTTTGTGCGTGCATACAATGTGCTGTGGTGTATGTATGGAGGTCAGAAGACATAATTGTGAAGTTACTTTTCTTTTTCTACCTTTATGTGGTTTTAGGGATCAAACTTAGGCTGTCAGGCTGGACAGCAAGTGCCTTTATCCACTGAGCCCTGAAGTCATTCCCCTTTTGACAGTGTTCCTTATTTATTATGTCTCATGTAATCCAGGCTGGGCTTGAACTCCCAGAGATCCTCCTGGCTCTGCTTCCCAAGTACTGGAATTAAAGGTGTGTGCCACCACCACTCAGAAAATTTTTTCTCTTTTTGAGATACATACAGATTGATATAAAGCTATTTATGATAACGTCTCATGACAGTTTTACAAATTTACTTATTTATTGTTATCATTATATGTGTATGATGTAAGACAGGGTGCATACCACAGCATGTAGAGGTGGGCGGACAACATTTGTTTCAGACAGGGTCACTCTATGTAGCTCTGAAGCAATGACTCATCTCCCAGCTTAGTTCTTTCGATGCCTTTTGTTTCAGTGGTGACTGTGCGTGGTAGCATGTACTGTTCTCCAAACATGATGTCCAGTTAGAAGCACTGCCAGTTTGCACTTGCATCACTGGCCTCTAGGACTCTTGCCTGTCTTGGGAGGGAATTTTTCCATATTGCCTTTACATGATCTTTCTATCATTTCTTCTCAGTATCATTGAAAGTTAATTATCTTTCTCGTGAAAGTTCTTAAAGGAGTGTTCTTTCCTCTCAGGGGCCTGTTTACTTACCGGGTGTGTTTGACTTCAGGTGATCATGTTTTTGAAGAAGAAGGAGAAGTTTATCAGCCTGATGCTGAAGCACATAGGCACCTCAGCTCTCATGGACCTGCTGCTGCGCCTGGTCAGCTGTGTGGAACCAGTTGGTCTCCGGCAAGAGGTCCTACATGTGAGTGCCAGGGACTGCGTGTGAATATGTGGGAACCCCGTCTCATTCTCCCTGGGAAGGTGCACCAGGCCAGGCCGCTTGTGTCAGGGAGCATCAGATGTCCATCCCCAAGCTCTTCACTCAGTCTCTCAACATGGCCTGCTTATCTGTACCCTTGTCCTGCTCTAGCCCATTCAGAGTCAAAGAGCAGAGGTGCCTTCTTCCAAAACATGGCCCCTTGCTCTCTCCTGCCCTTTACCTCACCCAGGCACCTACAGGCCTTAGAGGTGTGGGCTCCAGACCCAAGTGCTACTGTGAGGAAAGTACAAGCTGACTGGACTAGCTGAGGCTGGGGTGTGTCTCTTAATATGGAGTGTGAATGCTGCTGTGCTGCTGGGAACGACATTGTAGTAGGTGGTCCCTGAGAAAAGCAGGTGCCCAGCCTACAGGGCAAGCCAAGCAATTGAACCTTTGTTTTCTCACTCTGAGACTCAAGTGTCACTTAGATGGTCCTACTCACTGAGCATGGTACTACAAGACAGTAATCCCAGCAACTGAGAGGCAGAGGTAGAATTGTGAGCTCCAGGCTACTAAGGGCTACATGGTCTTGTAATATATAGGTTACCTACCCTGGGTCAATAAAGAAATAAAAGATGTTATAGTTTTTCTTTTTTCTTATTTTATGTTGTTATGTTTTGTTATTTCTTAGAAGCCTGTCATTTTCTTTTAACTCTTATTCTTCTGTCATACATTATATCCTGACTGCAGGTTCCCCTTCCTCTACTCCTAGTCCCTCCCCCCACCTCCCCTCTCCCAGATCAACTCCTCCTCTTCTTTCCTTTAAAAAAAAAAAACAGGACAATGGTGGTGCATGCCTTTAATCCCAGCACTTGGGAGGCAGAGGCAGGCAGATCTCTTCTGAGTATGAGGCCAGCCTGGTCTACAGAGCTAGTTCCAAGACAGTGAGGGCTGTTACACAGAGAAACCCTGTCTTGAAAAACAAAACAAAGTGCAGGCTTCCCAGGTATACACACTAAACATGGCATTACAAGATACAATAAGATTAAGTACAAACCTTATATCATGGCTGGACATGGTATTTCAGGAGGAAAAGGGTCCCAGTCGCAGGCAAAAGAGTCAGAAACACCTCCACTCCTGTTGTTGGGATTCTCACAAGAACACCAAGCTACACAATCATGAGGTATATGCAGAGGACCTAGCTCAGACCCATGCAGGTTCCATATTTGTCACTTCAGTCTCTGTGAGTCCCTATGAGCCCTGCTTAGTTGATTCTGTGGGCCATGTTCTCATAGTATTCTTGACCCCTCCTACTCCTATAACCCTTCCTCTCCCTTTTCTGCAGGGTTCCTCTGTCTCCACTTAGTGTTTTCTGTGGGTCTTGGTAGATACAGATTTTGGGGGGAAGGTAGGGTCAGGAGGAACTGGGAGGAATAGAGCAGGGAAACTGTAATCAGGATACATTGTACAAGAAAAGAATATTTGCAATAAAAGGGAAAGTAATTAAAAGAATAAAATAAAGTAGTGGTTACTCTCACTCTTAAGTATATATCTCATTTCCTTATGGCATAATATTCAGTGAATGCAGCATGTACATTAGCATTTACTAAGTATTTGTTGGGAGCTGATTTAGTTATTTTTTATTTATTATTTATTATGTATACTGTATTCTTGAATGTATGCCTGCAGGGCAAAAGAGGGCACCAGATCTCATTATAGATGGTTGTAAGCCACTATGTGGTTGCTGGGAATTGAATTCAGGACCTCATAAAGAGCAACCAGTGCTCTTTATCTCTGAGCCATCTCTCCAACTCCTTAGTTACTTTTCTATTGCTCATTTTTTAAAATATTTATTTATTATGTATACAATATTCTGTCTGTGTGTATGTTTGAAGGCCAGAAGGGGGCACCAGATCTCATTACAGATGGTTGTGAGCCACCATGTTGCTGGGAATTGAACTCTGGTCCTCTGGAAGAACAGTCAATGCTCTTAACCACTGAGCCATCTATCTCTCCAGTCCTCTATTGCTCATTTAAAACACTATATTAGTCAGGGTTCTCTAGAGTAACAACTTATAGAATGAATCTCTCTATATAGATATAGAAAGTTGATTTATTAGAATGACTTAACAGACTGTGGTCCAGCTACTCCAACAATGGATGCCTATGAACAGAAGGTCCAAGAATCCAGTAACTGTGCAATCCATGAGGCTGGATGTCTCAGCTGGTCTTCAGTAAATGCTGGAATCCTGAAGAAGTAGGTTCTAATGCTAGTGAAGGAATGAACTTAGTAGGGAGGTGAGAACAAGCAGGCAAACAGAGAGAGCTTCTTTCTTTCATGTCCTTTATGTAGACTGCCAGCAGAAGGCGTGGGGCCCACGTTAGAGGTGGGTCTTCCCATCTCAGAAGATTTGAATTAAAGGTGTGTCTTCCCACCTCAGATACAGACTAGAAGTGGATCTTCCCACTTCAAACTAAGCAAAATATCTTCACAGGTGTGCCCCAATTTTGGGTTTTAGTTAATGCCACATATAGTCAAGTTGACAACCAAGACTAACCATCACAAACCCTATGACCAAGGCATTTTTTTTCTTTTCTTGTTTGTTTTTATTTATTAAAATTTTTATTGAAGTTTGTTTATCGAAGAGTTTGTCTGTGTGTAGTCCTGGATGTCCTAGAACTTGCTCTGTAAACTAGACAGGGATCCACCTGTCTCTGCCTCCGGAGTGCTGGGATTAAGGGCATGCACCACCACACCTGGTGTGATCAAGGCAATTTAAAAGAAAGTATTTAATTTGATTTAGGGTTCTAGAGGGTTAGAGTCCATGATGGTGGAGCAAAGAATGGTGGCAGAAACAGCCAGAGCTCACATCTTGAACCATCAGTAGAAGGCAGTAAGAGCACACTGGGGATGGCAAGAATCTTTTGAAATCTCAAGCCCACTCCCAATAACATACCTCTTCTAACAAGGCCACACCTCCTAATCCTTTCCAAACAGTTCCACCAACTGGGGACCAAGCATTCAAACATAACATCCTATGGAGGCCATTGTCTTTGAAACTATCACAGAAGACTGCATAACCTTTTGCCTTTCACCTTTCACTTGTGCTCCTCATTCACATTGTAAAGCATCCCTATTGGGGCATTTCATCTCTGCATGACGAGTCTGAAGTGCAGAGTACACATGCACTAGTAGAACCTGTCTGCCAGCTCTGCTGTGGCCTGACATCATTTCACTGGATCTCCATTGCCCTTGACCTTGAACAGTGTTGGCTTCAGCCTTCACAGTGCTCCTACTGACATACCACAATCCTGCCTTCCAGATCCTAGGAAGGTCCTCATGCCACAGGGGGCTGAAATTTGTCTCATTTCACATCAGACTGGCCTCTGGACTCCATTCTGTTCATTGTGTACTTTAGGTTTCAGAAATGATGTGTCCTGTGCTATTAAGACAGATGGTCAGTGGCCTGCCCATTTAAACTCTTTGAGCCATTCCCAGGGTTCGTTGCATCATTTTGGTTCTTCCTGGGTCTAGATAGGCATGTCAGAGTATCCAGGAGATGGGGACATATGAGTTTCTGCTATACCAAAGGACTTTCTTCCATTTAGTTAGATATGAGCAGATACTGAACTGGACTTATTTTCTCTCTTTTTAGTGGCTTAATGAGTAGAAGATCATCCAGAGACTTGTGGAATTGATCCATCCTCATCAGGATGAAGATGTGAGTGTGGTGCTCACAAAGCCCACCTTCTTTCCTGAGAAGTCCCACACCTGTGCTGTGGGGATACATGCTACTGTGGGAAGGGGCAAAGCACTTTTCTCCTTTGAAGGGGACCATTAGATAGTTTCTTTCTCTAATGTCTAGGCAGTTTTGTTCTTACTGAATATAAATACAGGCCAGGCACGGTAGTGCACGCCTTTAGTCCCAGCTCCTGGGAGGCAGAGGTAGGTGAATCTCTGTGAGTTCAAGGCCAGCCTGGTCTACATAGTGAGTTCTAGGACAGCCAGGGCTACATAGTGAGAACTTGCCTCCAAAACAGCTAAAAAAAATCTCTATATATCATACACATGCATATGTGTGTACACGTATATATCTATATATCTACACACTTATATATGCACTTATTACTTCATAAATGTGTATGATGAAACAGTTCTTTTTTTTTGGGGGGGGGGATTCGAGACAAGGTTCCCCTGTGGCTTTGGAGCCTGTCCTGGAACTAGCTCTTGTAGACAAGCTGGCCTCAAACTCACAGAGATCCGCCTGCCTCTGCTTCCCGAGTGCTGGGATTAAAGGCGTGCGCCACCACTGCCTGGCTATGAAACAATTCTAACAGGGTTGTTTTAGTTAACCGTGGCTAAATGACAAGTCACCCTGTAGCTGAGTTGTCTGTAACAAGTACCTTTATCTCTGTCAGTCTTGGTTTCTCTGGTCAGGGATCTGGCCCATGGTCTGTTGGCTCCTCTGCTCAGGGTCTCTCACAAGGTCTCAGTCATTTCAGGACCCTACTGAAGAAGATCCACTTTCATAGTCACGTGACTTAACAGCATTCAGTTCCTCAGAGGCTGCTGATCCAGGTGACCCCTAAGCTCTGTGCGAGGTGGGCTTCAGAGTAGACAGTAGGGCTGACACTAAGGTGGCTTTGAGGAGTGATCTGGACTCAACCAGACTTTATAAATTCAGCTCGGAAATGATGGCCTTCCCTCTAATGCAGTGGTTTTTAACCTTCCTAATGCTGCGGCACTTTGATACAGCTCCTCATGCTGTGGTGACTCCCAACCATAAAATTATTTTTTTTTTGCCATTTCATAACTGTAATTTTGCTACTGTTATGAATTGTAATGTGATTCTGATATGCAGAATATGTGATCTCCCAAGGGATCATGATCCACAGGTGGAGAACCACTGCTCTAATGCATTCTGCCCTTTAGACTTGAACATCTAGGTCTAGCCTATATTCAAGGATGTGGACTTATAAGGGCTGAATACCAGGAAGGGTTAATTAGGGCCCTTTTTAGAAGCTTCCCTAGAAGCATATAATGTAATCATAGAAAGAAAAGCCAACTTCCACTCAATATCTCCTACTAAACTTTTACTGTACAAGACTATTTTCTGATGCATGTGAGGAGTAAGGCCTCTTAGAATTCAGTTCACCTCTGACCCTTGTTATGTAGTAGCAGATGGCACGGGTCTGAGGACTTAGTCACCAAGACTGTCCCACCTGCTACTGCCTCACATCTGTGCTTCTGACTGGCCAGCTAGACATTGGATTCTCTATACACTCTTTCTTAGATACAAATAATTTGTTGTGTTTACTGGTTTATTATGATACATATGAGTACGAAGAGGTGCATAGTGTAATGCATGGAAGAATGGGTGTGGAGCTTCCCTGTCTTTTCCAGGTATACTGCCCTGCAGGAGCCTTCACGTTTTGCTATTCAGAAACTCCACAAACCCAGTCTTTCTGAGTTTGTTGTTGTTGTTTTTATTGAGACTTAACTGCATAGGCATTTCTGATAATAGATTTGGTGAGGCAAACCCAGTAAGACCTGTCTGTCTGTTCAGTTTCTTCTTGGACTCTGTGAAACATTACCCAATCCATGTCATGGAGCAGGAGCCCTCTAGGATGTTGAGGGTATTATAATCTACTATCTGAGTAGACCATGAGGCAGGAACTGTGGACAAAGAGCAAAAAATGTATGTTAACATATCACAGATGTTTTGAGCCATCTTCGTCCTCCCTACAGTAATCAATCACTGTTGAGAGCTTGAGTCATGTCCTTATAAGGGCTTTGCTATGCAGTGTAAATATTTGTACACACATACACTATCTTCAGCCAGTACTTGACAAGTCTTCACTGCTGCCTGACCATTCTGTTTTGGCTCCTGTCTGCCCACTGAGCCTACCAAACAGCTGGGAGAAAAAAAATGTTTGAGTGTACAAGTTTTCCTATGTTAGTGTCCCAAAAGGTAGATAGAGCCTACCAGTGGTGTGAGTGTTGTAGGGTGACTGGCCTGACCCTGGTGCTAAAGGTAAGCTTAAGGCCACAGAATCAGCCTGCTTGCTTTCATTTACCCTGAAAGCCTTGCAAGTGGCTTTAAAAAAAAAATCTCAGTTTTTCTGTGTGTGTATGATATTGCAAAGATCAAGCTGTTTCTCTCTTGATTACTCTCCTCTCTGCCCACAAGTGTTCTTAGCAAGCACATGTTCTAGTTGGGATTGTGGGGTCAGAACTGATGTTTCTCTAGGAATGTTGAGTTCTCTATTTTTTTTTTCTTAAGTGGCTTATCCTGCCCATGGGAGTAATTGTAAATAATAGTAACTGCTTAATATTAACTTTAAAATATAAAATAACATGGTTACATATTCAATAATTTTAGAATGTGAATCAAAGTTATAGAATAGCTGCAAAGGCATATAACATACTTTGCTATCTTGGGCCCCATTTTTAATTCCTGGGAATGGATTCAATATATCTTTAAAAAAATCTAATTGGATTCACATCTTAATAATGGACAAAGCAGACACACACTACTTTCAAATGAGCCATTTCATAAATCTTTATAGAAAACTGGCTCATAAAAAGTTCATATATGGGGCTGGAAAGATGGCTCAGAGGTTAAGAGCATTGGCTGCTTTTCCAGAGGTCCTGAGTATAGTTCCCAGCAAACAGACAGTGGTTTACAACCATCTGCAAGGAGATCTGGTGCCCTCTTCTGGCATGCAGGCAAACATACACGCAGGCAGAACACTATACATAATAAATAAATCTTTTAAAAAAAAAGTCCAAATGTATTATCTGGGTTTTTTGACTGATGACTGTCTTTTGCTGAGGGGAGCCTGTTTCCTTTGTCTTTTCAGAGGCAGTCAAATGCTTCTCAGGCACTCTGTGACATCATCAGACTGGGCAGAGACCAGGGCAGTCAGCTGCAGGAGGCTGTGGAGCCAGACCCCCTCCTCATAACACTGGAGTCGTGAGTGATTGTGGGCCATGGGATGGTGGGTCTTCCTGAATCATAGGCATAACTTGGAACTTGTTTTGAACACAAGAGATGACGCTGCCATCTGTAATTCAGAATCTGATGATTTTCTCAGGTTCAGAGCCCAGAAAAGTATACCACTGGAAGCCTTGGTGATTCAGACAGTTGGGACCAGTGGGGTTATGTATTATGCAAGCTTTGAGTACCTGGCTTTGAACTTGAACAAAGCAAAAATGAGGCCCTACCTGGCTTATGGTGCTGTGGTGTCCTCTGGAGAAGAGAGTGTCCTTGAATTATGTCTGTGTGCCTGCTCTGCCAGGCAGTGACCTCTGTATGTGCCCTACAGGCAGGACTGTGTGGAGCAGCTTCTGAAGAACATGTTTGATGGGGATCAGATGGAGAGCTGCCTGGTCAGTGGGATGCAGGTGCTGCTTGCCTTGCTGGAGCCAAGGCGTGTTGGGTGAGCTTACATTAAACATCCTTGAAAAGCAGAATAGAGTGCCCCTGTGCCACAGGATATGGATATCTAGGAGGAGCCAGAAAATGCTCTATTTTTAATTAAGTTTTGGTTATACAAGTTATAATATGGGTAGACATCCTGGTTGAAAGGTCTTCTTTGCAGGCTGTAGCTAGGTCTTCTTTGATCCTCATTAGCAGGCATAGTTTCACCCTAGCCTGATGGCACTCAACTGTTGCCAGTTTGCAATATGTTTATAGATGCATATGGAATATGTGTGGTTTTCTCTAGGAATGCTCTGGCCATTATCCACAGTGTATGGGTGTGTATACATAATACCTCCTGCAAGGCTACCATGTAGCTGCTTGCATGGTAGGGAAGGAAGGATGCTGTCTTATCTGTCATCCACAGGTGCTAATTTCTCTGCTAAGTGTCCAGTAAGACATTTTGTTTTGGGACTGTTCTTCACTTTTCCCTCCCCCCAGACAGGGTTTCTCTGTAGCTTTGGAACCTGTCCTGGAACTCATTCTGTGTAGACCAGGCTCTCCTCAAACTCAGAGTTCCACTTGTCTCTGTTGTCTGAATGCTGGGATTAAAGGCAGGCACCACTACTGCCTAGCTATTTCTTTTTTAAGATGTATTTATTTTTATGTATATGAATGCTTGCCTGCATGTATGTATGTGCACCATATGGGTGCAGTGCCTGTGGAGGCCAGAAGAGGGCAACATTCTCCTGGACCCAAGTTACAGATGGTTGTGAGCTGCCATATATGTATTAGAAACCAATCCCAAGTTTTCTGCAAGAGCAGTAAGTGCTCTTAACCACTGAGCCATTTCTCCAGCCCCTGTACTTCACCTCTTTTTCATCCATCAGGTGCTATTTGAATACCTAGCATGTAGTCCTAAGGGACAAAGACAGCCAAAACATAGCCCTCTTTCCTACAATGTTCCAGGAGATCATTATGGGGACAGGTTCAGTATGGAAAGTGCATGATCCTTAAAGAAAGTCCATATAGGCCTGGAAGATAGAGACATGCTATGCTGGTCAGGGAGGTTTTCTCTGAGGGACCCCATTTAGTCAAAGATAATTTCTGATAAGAAGAGGGTCCCATTATAAGGGAAAGCATAGTTACCAATATATGGATTGAGAGGTGCGAGGCTGGAAAGTCACCACACTGGTTATCCTCAGTATTGCTCTTGGAAGCCTTCTGAGGCAAAGTACCATTTCTTTTTCTTTTTTTTTTTAAAGTATTTTATTTATTTGTTATGTATATAATATTCTGTCTGTGTGTATGTCTGCAGGCCAGAAGACCTCACTACAGATGGTTGAGAGCCACCATGTGGTTGCTGGGAATTGAACTCAAGACCTTTGGAAGAGTAGGCAATGCTCTTAACCTCTGAGCCATCTCTCCAGCCCCAAAGTACCATTTCTTAAGACAGGAGAAAACAAGAGACATAAGTTGGTGTGAAAGGTTGAATTTGTTTGGGAATGAAGTGATTGAGAACTTTCTAGGACCCCGAATATAAATTCTAGATAGTGAAACTTTCTTTGGGGCCCAGCAGGCTAGATGCAGTCACAGCCATTTAAACAAAAATGATCTGATTTTACCTTGTGAGCCACAGAGGAGAGACAACAGGATGTGGAGAGTCAGTAGCAGAGTTTCTTGGCTAAGGAGTCCCCTAGAACTTTTCTGGCGATAGTGGAGGAGAATCCTTGATATTGCTAAGCACTGACCCCTCCACTCAGTCTTTTCAATGGGCCTTCAAGCTCCATCAGGTAGATGAAGGTTCTCTGCAGCCAGCAAACCATTCCTAGGATGTTTCTGAACTGTTCTATTACATGTTGGGGGTAAGGTTCCAACTTTCCCTCAAGGCAATTGTCATGTTTCCCCATGTTGGGGAGTACTTCATTATCTCCTGATACTGATAGTCCTGTGCTTTTAAACAGACACATACACATGAAAATGACAAGAAATTGGATAAATCTCTTTCCAAAACCACCTCAATACTTTAATATTAGTGTATTGCCTAAAAATAACTAAATAACATCATTTTCTCTACTTATACAACTAGATAATGATGATGATGATGATAATGATTATTTTAGCAAATCCAGCAAGCCTAGACCACTTCTGAAAGCCAAACTCAGCTTTGCATGTGATGGAGGGAACAATGTGAAATTTAGGAAAACAGAAATAGAACTAGGCATGGTGGCCCAATGACTTTAATTGCAGCACTAGTTAGGCCAGCCAAGGGATCCTATTTCAACTCTTTTTTTTTTTTTTTAAAGAGAGGAAAGAAACCCATAGAATAAACCAACCTGGGCTCACAGGGGCTCACAGAGACAGAACTGACAACCAGGGAGACTGCATGGGACTGACCTAGGTCCTCTGCATATATATGCGACAGTTTTGTGTAGCTTAGTCTTCTTATGGGACTCCTAGCAATGGGAGCAGGCCTCTTCTCTCTCTCTCTCCCCCCCCTCTCTGTTTTTTGAGATGCAGGGTTTCTCTGTAATTTTGGAGCCTGTCCTGGAACTTCCTCTGTAGCCCAAGCTGGCCTCGAACTCACAAAAATTTGCCTGTCTCTGCCTCCCAAGTGGTGGAATTAAAGGCATGTACCACCACCACCTGACTTTTAATCATTTTTTAGTGGTTTATTTATTCTTATTTTATGTGCATTGGTATTTTGCCTGTATGTATGTCTGTGTGAGGGTGTCAGATCCCCTGGAACAGTTGTGAGCTGCTATGTAGGTGCTGGGAATTGAACCTGGGTCCTCTGGAAGAGGAGCCAGGGCTCTTAACCTCTGAACCATCTCTCCAGCCCTGTCTCTGACTCTTTTGCTGGCTTTTGGGATCCTTATCCTCATACTGGGCTCTTTTGTCCAGTCTTCAACTTGATATGCCATGTTTGGTTGCTATCCATGGGAGGCCTGCCCTCCTCTGAATAGAGATGGAGGAGGAGTGGATGGGGGAGGCGGGGGAGAGGGACTGGGAGGAGAGGAAGGATGGAAACAGCAGTTGGGTTGTAAATTAAATGAGTAAATAAATCTTTTTCAGTCTTAAAAAAAGAAAGACAAAATAGAAATAGTCAACTATTTCTCTTTACATTAATTTTTAAAAATTTTTCTCTCATTCTGCCCCCAGTTTCCCCTATTTTACTTCTCCTCCCAACCTTCATCTCACCTCCTTCCCCTAGACCCCTCTTCTGTTTCCCTTTAAAAAAAAAAAAAAAAAAAGAGCAGGCCTCCAGGGATATCAACCAAACAGTTACGGCTGTTAAGGATAATATCTTTACACTTTAAAAAAATTTTACAGCCCGTTTCCCCTCCCTCCTCTCCTCTCAGAGCCCCCCTTCTACCCCACTCCCCACCCACTCCCACTCTTCCCCCATCTCTATTCAGAGGAGGGCAGGCCTCCCATGGATAGCAACCAAACATGGCATATCAAGTTGAAGACTGGACAGTTGAGGATCAGGGTCCCAAAAGCCAGCAACAGAGTCAGAGACAGCACCTGCTCCTTTGATGCTTTATTTATTTAGGATTCTTTTTTCTGCATTGATCTCATATTACTTCTATTAATTGGAAAGTATATTTAAATATCATATATATACATATATATGTATATATATATTTATCTCAGACAAATTGTCTTGTAAAAGCAAAAAAACTGTATGGCTAGTCTGCTTCCTGTTTCTCACTTGAAGATTGAAGACCCCTGCTAGGGATTAAGGGGACAGCAAGGCAGCAAGTCCTGTATCATTCCCCTTGCCCTTTGCTCTTGAATTTCACCCAGAAGTGTTTTGCTAAGGGGCTGAGAGCCCTCCTCTTCTCAATACACTGGTCACCAGATCGTGTGTAGAATCCTGAGTAATGTCCCTTTTCATATTTGTGTTTTGGATACTCAACATGAGCTTTTTGGGAGATGCAGAGTAGAATATTGACAAGGTAATGGGGAGTGCACAGGATATGGTGCAAATACCAAGACTGCCTGCTGTCTTTATCCACAGAACAGAAGGCTTGGTGGACTCCTTTTCTCAGGGACTGGAAAAGGCATACTCTGTCAACAGCAGCATCCTGCGTGGCATCGAGCCATGGCTAAAGAATTTCCATCAGCTCCTGCTCCACCCGCCAAAGGTAAATGGCGGGGAGAGATTATTAGGGATCTTGAGGACATATGATGATGTAATATACAGGATAAGGCAGAGTATGGAGTTAAGTGTGCTTTGACCTACCCTTTGAGATACCAACCACTGGGCAGATATTAAGATATGCTGTAGTGGGCTGGAGAGATGGCTCAGCAGTTAAGAACATTGCCTGCTCTTCCAAAGGTCCTGAGTTCAATTCCCAACAACCACAAGGTGGTTCTGGTGCCCTTTTCTGGCCTGCAGGCATACACACAGACAGAATATTGTATACATAATAAATAAGTAAATATTTAAAAAAAAAGATATGCTGCTAGTTAGGAATACCCATGTCGCTCTACTAGGAGAGGCCTGGGAGCAGGACATTTGCAGACTCCACAGGTAACTAAGTACCAGGTTAACTAGCCTCTGGGTCAGGGCTCTCCTAGCCAAGGGTGGCTCAACTCCTGGAGGCCAAGATCCCAGGGAAGCTCTTTGTTGAGTCAACAGCTCAGGGTAGTTATTGGTTTAGGCTGAAGAGGGTGGCCTTCACAAAGGTCCTCAACTGCCTCCTGCCCACCAGGGCTTCTTCTCTGGCACTCCGACCCCACAGTATAGTCCTTTCCCATACACAGTTCTTCCTAGTACACCTACCTTACTTACTTCTTGTCTTTTGTTTTGTCTCCCTCACTAATAAGGAAGGATTTATAGAGGCAAGAACTGTTTTATTAGCCTTAAACATTCAGTTTGTGGAAAAGTGGACACAGATGGATCAGAAAATTCCTGAATCCAATCTAATGAAGCAAGCTTGGGGCCAATGAGATGGCTAAGTGGGTAAAAATGCTTTCTGTGCAAGTCTGACCTGAGTTTGATTCCTGGGAATTATGTAAAGGTGAAAGGAGAGAATCAACTCCACAAAGTTGCCCTCTGACCTTCATACATGTACTGTGGTATACATGTGCCAGGAGCACACACATACATACAGTACACAGATAAGCACATACAACAAATATACACACATGAACCTTTTTTTTTTTAAACTGGGAAAAAGCTATTTTGCTAATGAGGCAAGCTCTTAGCTCAGAATCCCACAGTTGGGTCCTGCTACTTGCCTTCAGATTGCTACTGCCAGCTCCATCATGGATACTGGATACATTTTACGTGCCATAGTAGTGGTCCTTTGGCCTAATAGCACAGGCAAGAGTCCCTGGGCTTCCTAGGAGCCTTTGGTCTCTTTATCCACTCTTTTTAGCCATGAGGGGAGAAAAGGGTCCTTCATCCTGTGGATTTCTTCACTTCTTCTTGCAGGAAGCCCTGTCTTGATCACACCCTACTCTCTCCAGGCCAGGCATATCATAGGTGAGTGGCCTATTTGTTATAAGACTCCAACTGGGTGGTGCCTCCTGTGTTTGCAGAAAAAAGCAATCCTGACCACTATTGGCGTGCTAGAGGAGCCCCTGGGGAATGCTCGTCTTCATGGTGCACGCCTCATGGCTGCACTGCTGCACACAAACACGCCCAGCATCAACCAGGAGCTCTGCCGACTCAACACCATGGACTTACTGCTGGTGAGTCAGCGCCATAGCAGCTCTGCTTGTCTGTATGAGCCAAGCACAGTCTTCAGTTGAACATGGAGATGGGTCAGGAGCACTGGGCAGGGTTCATCCGGACAGGCACTTGGGCAAAAAGACCTGCCAAGAAGAGGTGCTGATACCCAGATCATGGGTCTTTAATGTAGCACACTGAGCAATACAGGGATGTGATTCAGTCTTAGGCTCACAGTAGCCTGACATCCTAGGAACTTCCTGATGGCAGAGGGTGGGTATCTGATCTTGTTTCATAAGTCATAGTGTCCTGAGAGGTAGATCTCTGAGTTTCAGGCCAGACTCATCTACATTGAGAATTCCAGGACAATCAGAGCTACATAGTAAGACCCTGTCTCAAAAAAAAAAAAAAAGAAAAAAGAAAAAGAAAAAGAAAAGAAAGAAAAGGAAGGAAAGAAGAAGGGGGAAAGAGAGAGAAAGGAGGGAAGGAAGGAATTAAATAGCAAAACAAAAGGGAGAGAGAAGGTCCTCGTCTTTCATCTTTCATAGTTGTCATCCTTGTGACTCTTGTCAAATCCAGTAGGAAATGTGCCTCCATCAGTAGAAACCACCCAGTGGCTTGTAGGTTATTTTAGTAGTAGTAGTATTTTAGTATTTTGGTGCTTGTTTTTTGTTTGTTTGTTGCTTTTGAGACAGGATATCTCTATGTAGCCTTGGCTGGCCTGGGACCAGACTGGCCTCCCAAGTGCTTAGGATTAAAGGCATGTGTTTCCATGTCTGGCCAGAATTCTGTAGATTTCTGATAAAAAAGAGAGATGAGCTGGCAGTGGTAACCTGCCTGTACTGGCTCTGAGTAGCAGGTGCTATCTCAGAGCTGGTGGCTGTTTCCTTGAGCAGGAAGATATGGATTGGGATGCCCTGTTGGGTACTGTTGACATGCACAGGCCCTGCTGGCATGTCTATGGCCTCAACTCCCAGAAAGCAGGAAGTGCCTTCAAATAATGGCACTGCTAAGTATGGTGTCAAATATACTCTGGAGATAGTGGTCTACATGAAACTCTTTCTCTCTCTCACTCACCACCACCACCAAAAGTTACTTAGAACTGCTAAGATAGATGCCAGCTTGTATCAGAAGTATGTTAATAAAAGACTCATTTTCCTTTTCTTTCTAAAACAAATCTGTCTTAATTTTTACCACCCCCCCCAACCCTGCTTGCTTGTTTTTAAGACAGGGTTTCACTATGTAGCTCTGGATGGCCTGGAACTTACTAAGTACACCAGGCTGGCCCTGGACTCATAGAGATTCTTCTGCCTCTCTGCCTTCCAAGTGCTGGGATTACAGGTGTGCTACCACACCTGGCTCCACGTTACTTTTTGAGACAGAGTCTCTTACTGAATCTGGAACTTGCTGACTAGCAAGGGGATTGTCATCTTCATCTTGTGAGTGCCGAGATTACAAATGTGTGCTGTTGATCATGACTTGTACATAGACACTGGGGACTGAACTCTGGTCTCTGGTGCTTGTATGGCAAGTACTTTACTGACCCAGCCATTTCCCAGCCCTTGCTTACTTACTGTTTGTGTCTCTGGTCCTTGGACTAGAACCCAAGTGAGTACTCCATCATTGATCTACCCTATAGATATGTATACTCATTCATTCATCCACTCACAATTCTAGGAACTCAATCCAGGGACTTGCGTATGTTGGACAAGCACTCTACCACTGAACTATATACCCAATAGTTTTTGGGGGGCAGATAGGGGGCTTCTGCCTCCTGAGGGCTGGGATTAAAGGCTTGTGCCTCTATGCCTGGCTTTTTCCCTTCACATTAATCTTGTATTTATGGTGTGTGTGTGTGTATGTGTTTGCATGTGCACTTACAAGTGCCATGGTGTGCATGTGGAAGTCAGGACAACTTGCAAGAATAGGTTTCTCTTCTGCCATGTGAGTCCTAGGAATCAAACTGTGGTTTTTAAGTTTTGAGAATAAGCAGTTTTACCCTACTTTAAGGAAATCATTAAGCAGAGAAATTGGAAAGCATGAATACTGTACACTCTTAGTGGGTCTGCAAAGCAAAAATTTGGTGGTTCCTCAAAATGTTAGCTGTAGAACTGCCATGAGATACTGTATGTCCACTCCTAGGTATGCATCTAAAGACCTTAAACAGATATCTCTCAAGGTCACAGCAGACTATTCACTACATACAGCAACCACAAAAAAATATAAATAGTCCTAGCATCTACTGGTAGATGAGTGATTAAACAAAATATATACATATGATTATAAATGCCTCAGCCTTAAAAAGAAAGGAAGTCTTAACATATGTTGCAAAGGAAATGAACCTTGAGGCCACTGTGCTTAGTGAAATATGCCAGTCACAACAAGAGCAATCTATGGTTCCACTTATACATAATATCCTAGAATAGTCAAATTCAAAGACAGAAAGAATGGAAGTTGCTATGGGTTGGGGAGTTAGTATTGGTATAGTTCCGTTTGGGATGGGGAGAAAGTGCTGGAGATAGATAGTTGCAAAGTCCTTACACTAAATTGTACATGTAAAAACAGTTAAGATGAGAGTTAGGTATGGTGTGTATGCCTACCGTCCCAGTATTTGGGAGGCTAATGGGTAGCACAGACAAAGCAATGTCCATAATGGTCTAACCCATAATGGACAAAGTGATCTTTATGATGATGTCACTCATACTGGTACTGGGTGATCAATCATGGTGTCTCCGGGCACAAAACAGATAAGAAGTCTACTGCAGTTTTGTTTGATCCTAGATAATATCTGTGGAAAAATTCTTAACCAAATGAAAGAAGGCTCCATTGTATAGTGGCAAAAGGGAATCTCAGTTTGAGAACTAATTTCCAGACTTGAACCAATTTGAAGACCCAGAACCAATTTGAAGGCAGACTTTTCTTTCCCTCCCGCCAGTTCCCAAATAACCAACATGGAGACTAAATATTAATTATAAATGCTTGATTGTGGGGCTGAAGAGATGTCTCAATGGTTAAGAGCACTGGCTACTCTTCCAAAGGACCTAGGTTCAATTCCCAGCACCCACATGGCAGTTCATAGCGGTCTGTATCTGTGTATCTATCCATAAGGACCACCAGAAGCAATTTGCTTTCAGTTAGCAAGGCCAGCAGTATACCTTTACAATTTCACCTCAAGGATTTATTAACTCTTCAGCCCTGTGTTACAGCTTATTTTTAAGGGATCTTGTCTCTTCCACAAAATATACATTGGTTCACTGTGTTAGTGACAATATGCAGATTGGACCAAGTGAGCAGCCACTTTGGACTTGTTGGTAACACACATGTGTATCAGAGAATGGTAAATAAATCCAGCCAAAATTCAAGGGCCTTCTACCTCAGTGAAACCCTTAGTAATCCAGTGGTGATTAGGGGCATGCAGAAATATCTCTTCTAAGGTGAAGGATAAGTTATTACAGCTGGCCCCTCCCATCAGCAAGAAGCACAACTGTTAGTGGCCTATTTAGATTCTGGAGACAGCACATTCCCAACTTGGGTGTTACTCTGGCCCACATATAAGTGACTCAGAAAGATGCTAGCTTTATGGAGGGAGCCTGGAAACAAGAGAAAGCTTTTCAACAGGTCCAGACCTCTGTGCAGGCTGCTCTACCACTTGAACATTTGATAAAGTAGACCCGAGGGTATTTAAGGTGTCAGTAGCAGATAGGGTGGTTGTCTGGAGCCTTTGGCAGGCCCCTAAAGGTGAATCACAGAAGAGACTTTTGGAATTTTTGGAGCAAGGCTCTACCATCATCTGCAGAAAACTATCCTCCCTTTGAGAGACAGCTCTCAGCTTGCTACTAGACCAAAGTGGAAACTGAAAATTTGTCAGTGGGCCACCAAGTTACCATGTGACCTGAGCTGTCCATCATGAGCTGGGTGCACAACAGCAATCTGTTATCAGGTGGAAGTGGTGTATGTTTTATCAGGCCCAAGCAGGTCCTGAAGGCACAAGCAATTTACATGAAGAAGTTGCCCAAATGCTTACGGTTTCTATTCCTGTTACAATGCCATCTGCTGCCAGGCATGTACCTATAGCCTCATGGTTGTGCCATGTGACTGGTTGACTGAGGGAGAAAAGACTAGGACCAGGTTCACTTATGGTTCTGTTCATTATGCAGGCACCGCCCACAAGTGCACAGCCGCAGCATTATAACCCCTGTCTGAGACAACACTGAAAGACACTGGTGAAGGGAAATCTTCTCGGGGGCAGAACTGCGGGCAGCACACATGGTGGTCATACATATTGACTGGAAGGAGACATGGCCAGATACTCAGTCACTGATTCATGGCTGTAGCCAATGGATTATTAGCTGGATGGTCAGGAACTTGAAAAGAGCATGATTAGAAAATTGGCAAGAAAGATATTTGGGGAAGAAGTATGTGGATAGACCTTACCAAATGGGCGAAGGATGTGAAGATAGTAAATGTTCATCAGAAGGTGACTTCAGCTGAGGAGGAGTAATCAAGTAGATAGGATGACTTGTTCTGTCATCCCTTTCCCTAGCCCTCCTGTCATTGCCCAGCGTACCACGATCAAAGTGGCCATGGTGGCAGAGACGGGGGTTATGCATGGGCTTGACAACATGGACTGTCACTGCCCAGGGATGACTTGGCTACAGCTGCTGCTGAGTGCCAAATCTGCCAATAGTAGAGACTAACACTGAGCCCCAGATAGGGCACTATTCCCTGGGGTGTCCTGCCAGTGATCTGGTGGCAGGTTGACTAGTTGGACAAATTCCTCTGGAAAAGACAACACTTTGTCCTTACTAGAATAGATAATTATTCTGGTTATGCCTTTCCTGCATGTAATGCCTCTGCCAAAACTGTCATCCATGAACTTACAGAATGCCTTTATCTGCCATCATAGAACTCCACATAGTATGACTTCTGTCCAAGGAACTCACTTCACAGCCAGAGAAGTGTAACAGTGAGCCCATGATCATGGAATCCACTGGTTTTACCATGTTCCCACTGTTCTGAAGCAGCTGGCTTGGTAAAAAGACAAAATGACCATTTGAAGACCAAGTTACAGCACCAGGTGGCAGCAGCCTGGAGGACTCTGACAGGGTTCTCCAAAAAATGGTATATGCTTGGAATTAGTGTCCAATATATGGCATGATTTCTTCCATAACAAGGATCCATGGGTCCAGAAATCAAGGGGTGGAAAAAGAATAGTTCAACTCATTATCACTGCCAGTGATACTTTAGAAAGATTGTTGGCTTCCTGTTTCTGCATCTTTAAATTCTGCTGAGCTGGAAGTTTTAATTCCAGAATTGGGAGTGTTCCTGCTAGGAGCTGTAACAAACATTGCATTAAACTGGAAGCTCAGACTTCTCCTGGTCACTTTGGCTTCTAATGTCCTTAAGCCAACAGGCTAAGGAAGGAATAATGGTGTTATGAGGGGTAATTGATCCAGATTACCAAAGGGAAATTGAACTACTCATCCACAATGGAGGTAAGAAAGATTATGGAGTATAAACACCCTTTAGGGCATCTCTTAGTGCTACCCTGTCCTGTGATTAAAGCCAGTGGGAGACTACAACAATCTAATCCAGGCAGGATGACAAAGGGTACAGACCCTTCAGAGTCAAGACCTGCTGAGGTTCTTGCTGATGGTGGAGGAAATGTGGAATGGGTAGTAGAGGAAGGTGGTTACAAACACCAGCCAAGGCATGTGACCAGTTGCAGAAATGAGGATTATAGTTGACATGAGTGTTTCTATCATGTTTTGTTAAGATTGTGTTTGTATAGATGTTTGTGTTTTCTTTCCTCTATTTTTTATCGTGTAATGTAATATTAATTAAGAGAATATTGGTGTTTTTTTCCATTTGTTTCAGTAGATTTTGGGGGAGACTAGAGATATATAGCTCAGTAGCAGAGCACTTATGTAATATACAAAGCCCTACTTGCACTAGAGAAATGGCTCAGGGTTTAGAGTACTGACTGCTCTTCCAGAGGACTCAAGTTCAATTCTCAGTCCCATATGGCAGCTTACAACTATTCATAATAACTCCAGGCCCAGGAAATCTTATGCCCTTTCTGGCTTCAAGGTCATATATGTAAACAAAATACCTATTCATGTTTTTTTAAATAATTTATTTAACTTTATTTTATGTGGATTGGTGTGAAGATATCAGAGCCCCAGAAACTGGAGTTACAGACAGTTGTTAACTGTCATGTGGGTGCTGGGAATTAAACCCGGGTCCTCTGGAAGAACAGCCAGTGCTCTTAACTACTGAGCCATCTCTTCAGCCCTCTCATGGTTTTTTTTTTTTAAAGTAAAATAAAATGAAACAAAGAAAACAAAATCCAATAAAGCCCTGTGTTCAACTCCTAGAGACATAAGTAATAAATGTATAAATCTGGTCTTTTGAGTTCTTTTAGCATATTTTGTATTATATTGATTTATCTGTGTGTGTGTGTGTGTGTGTGTGTGTGCGTGCTTGCCCATGTGTGTGGTCCCAGGTGCCACCATGTGCATGTCATGGTCAGAGTACAGCTTGTGGGAGTAGTTCTCTCCTATCACATAGGTCCCAGGGATTGAATTCTCAGATCATCCCTGGTGAATTTCTGATGCTTCTTTCTCTTCTCTTCTCTTCTCTTCTCTTCTCTTCTCTTCTCTTCTCTTCTCTTCTCTTCTCTTCTCTTCTCTTCTCTTCTCTTCTTTTTTCTTACTTGGTTTTTCAAGGCAGGGTTTCACTGTGTAACCCTGGAATTCACTCTGTAGATCAGACTGGCCTCAAACTCACAGAGATCCGCCTCTGCATCCCGAGTGCTGGGATTAAAGGCGTGTGCCACCACTGCCCGGCATGAATGATTATTTTAATAATCCACCACTGCTGGATTCATTTTGTTAGTATTTTGAATCTATATGTATAAGGCATATACATATCATATCCTTGTGTTGTTTTAGTATCAGATCCATGCTGGCCTCATGGGACAAGTCACACAATACTCCTGCCTCTTCCACTTTGGAGGAGTTTGAGAAGGATATGTCTTTAAGTGTTTGGTAGAAGGGCTGAGAGATAGCTCAGCAGTTAAGAACACTTGCTACTTTTGCAAGGGACACAGGTTTGGTTTCTAGCACCCACACAGTGGCTAACAACTACCTATAACTCCAGTTCTAGGAGATCTGACACTACCTTCTGGCCTTCACAAGCATCAGGAACACATGGTACATAGACAACATGCAGACAAAATATCTATGTACATAAAAAAAATTTTTAAGGGTCTGGAGAGATGGCTTAGCAGTTAAGAACACTGGCTATTCTTCCAGAAGACCCAGATTCAATTCCCAGCATCCACATGGCAGCTCATAATTGCCTGTAGCTCCTGGTTCAGGGAATCTGACACTTTCACACAGACATACATGCAGGCAAAACATGAGTGCATGTGAAATAAAAATAAAAAATTTTAATTAAATGTTTGGTAACATTCACCATTTAGGTCATGTGTTCTCACTTTTCCTTGTTGAAAGGTGATCTAGGTAGCATAGTCTGCTGCATAGCTTAAGGTCACATAGCCAAAAAATGTAAAGCTAAGGTTTGGGGTTGTTTGTTTCTTTTCTTTTTTTTTTTAAAATATTTATTTATTTATTTATTTATTATGTATACAATATTCTGTCTGTATGCCTGAAGGCCAGAAAAGGGCGCCAGACCTCTTTACAGATGGTTGTGAGCCACCATGTGGTTGCTGGGAATTGAACTCAGGACCTTTGGAAGAGCAGGCAATGCTCTTAACCACTGAGCCATCTCTCCAGCCCCCTTGTTTCTTTTTTTTTTTTTTTTTAATCTTTGAGATGGGATCTCACTATGTAGCCTTAGATGTTGGAACTTGCTATGTAGACCAGGCTGCCCTCGAACGCATGCAGATCTGCCTGACTCTGCCTCCCAAGTGCTAGGATTAAAGGTGTGTGCCACACAAGCAAAAATGGGAATGTGTATCTTTTGAAGAAGTATGTCAGACATATGACTTCTCTGCTTGATGTAATCTTTTTTATAAAGGAGGTATCCAAAATTATATCCCATCCCTCTACCTAGCACACACCTGTTTGTTCAGCTGGGTCTGGGGCTGTGGGCTGCTGTGACCCTGGCCCGTGTGAAATGGCAGTAGTGGAGAAGATCTGGAGCTGGAAAAGGCTCTTTGGAGATGGGATGTCTGGGTCTCCTTGTCTAGGCTTTGCCTCAGTGCCCACTCCTTCCAGGATGCCTGGCACGCTGCAGTCTCATGTTCGTGAGGAAGATGTATGTCACTCATCCTGGTGGAGTCCAAATTTAGCACACTCTGGTTACACACTGGTGAGAGACAAAATAGTGAAGGGAAATTTTAAATTCTTGGAGTTAAATAATAATTCAAAAATAGTGTGTAATAAAATATATAAAGTAGACTTTATAGGAAAATACGTAGCCCTTTAAAGACACCATAAAAGAAAAAATACTCCAAATTACTTAAGTTTCTAATATAAGTAACAAAGTAACAAGCAAGAGGGCCGTGGGCAAGGCAGATCCTCACAGAACTTCCTTAGTGAGAAGTGGGCCTTAGGGAGGCGCCCAAGCACACCAACAGCTGCATACTTGTGAGATCAGTAGATGAAGTTTTAAGACTGATTCCCATTCACCCTGTAGTTCAGCTGTTGGAGAAGACCCATCTAAAGACCTTTTTCTGTCCTTTGTTTACTCAGGACTTGTTTTTCAAGTACACCTGGAATAACTTTTTACACTTCCAAGTGGAACTGTGCATAGCCGCTATTCTTTCCCATGCTTCCCGGGAGGAACAGGCAGAAGCTAGTGGATCGGATGGCAAGGTGGAGCCTCTTCAGGGGAGTGGAGATGGAACTGGGAAGCCCGAGACCCCCCAATCCATCACCAGCCTTCCTGAGAACACGATGGTGACCCATGTAAGTCCAGTGCCCTTGTTCATCACTGCCAGCTGAAGCAGATGCCAGGCCAGCTCTGGCGTGTTACCTCCTAACCTTCATGGGTCAGAGGGGCTACTCACAGGAACACAACATTGTGAAGAAACGTTCAGGTTTGACAGGATCATAGTTGGTGACATAGAAGGCCAGCCAGCATTTGCAAAGATGATCTTGTGGTTGTGGGTATTGGCTCTAGGAAGGCAGCTATCTGGACACGCTCTCCCTACTGTGCTTACAAGCAGCCCGCTGCTCTTTTCAGTCCACCTTTATAACTAAACACAAGTGTTGAATTCTCAGGAGAGAGCTTTCCGGAACTTTGAACCTTCTAGAGCCAGGTGCACCAGCTTTCTCTGTGACTTCCCTTATTCTCCATTCTCCATAGAATAACCATACAGTGGGTTGGTCACCCTAGGGTTAAGAGTCTGCAGCTCAACCTGTTTTTGATATCAGCACTTAATATCATCCCTGGTAGAGAGCAGCCCTAATGGATGTTTTCCAGGGAAGAAAGGGAGAAAATAGCTTGGGATCATAAGCTGTACCTGAGCTGAGACCCACTGTGACTGCTACCCACTTTTACAGTGGTACAGAACATTCTGGACCATGCTACAGGGCTGACAGGAGGGCAGAAGTTTGGGACAGGGTTCCTGGGTCTCTGTTCAGAGGCCTCATAGATAACAGTGTTTGATTGGGTTTAGAAGATCTCAGTGCTACTTGCTTGGGGAGGTATCCTGGCAACCCGTGTGCAAACAAACCTAACAGAAGCTAATACTGGGTAAGATGTATTCATTGTGGTCCACAGTTTATGGTCCAGTGAATAAACAGCCATGAGACAGGTGCTTGAAACGGCAAGAGCTTCTGGGGAACCGAGAGTACTATTCATGGGAGGGGCATATAGACCAACAGGGACCCCCAGATAGTGACAGAGAAGGTGTGAGTTGGGATCTATAACACATCACATATACAAGAAAACTGCCTGTGTATGGGAAAAGAAAATGCTAAGGGCCCCAGAGAGCTGATGGGAGAGTGGCCAGAGGTGTAGACAGAGGCCCACAGGAGGGGAGGCAGAAGACATTCTAGCGTGATGGAGGAGCATAGACTGTCCTTTACTATATTTACTGGTCTTCATTCTCAGGGCATTCAATAGCATGAGACTTGGAGCCCTTGAGCATCAGTGATGTCATGGCCACAGGGTCTTCAGTGCTGATTTGCCTGCTCACTGCCTACAGCACCTAGGAAGCAGTGTGAACCTTGGGCTCCCACTCACACTGCTTGCCGCTCTGCTCTCACAGCTGTTCCAGAAGTGCTGCCTGGTACAAAGGATCCTGGAAGCCTGGGAAGCCAACGACCACACACAGTAAGGACCCTGAGGAACCCCCCTTGGTCAGTTAGGGATGTAGACATGCATCTCACCGGGATGTTGGACACTGCAAGACTCCAGGTTCCGTGTCAGGCATCAGCAGCGTGTAACCTAGATATGTGCCTGGGACTGTTCTGGAAGGGATCCTGCTCCTGGGTAAACAGCAATAAGGGCTGCTCAGGAAGGAGGATGCAGGGAGGCATGGAGAGTCGCATGTTGAGTGATGAATGGCTGGGCCACACACTATAGGTAGGTAACCCTTCCCAACCTATCTTGCTTGGACTCTGTTTCATTTTGGTATAGTTTTTTTTTTAAGACAGGTTTCTCTTGTGTACCTGTCTGTCCTGGAACTGTCTATGTAGACCAGGCTGACCTTGAACTCACAGAGATCTGCCTGCTTCTGCCACTGAGTGCTGGAATTAAAGGTGTGTGCCACCACCACCCAGGCTTGCTTGGACTTTGTGCACTTATTATCTCATTTTTTAAAAAAGATTTTTTTTCTCTAATTTTTTTTTCCCAGTGCCTGGGTCTCATTATATAGCTCTGGCTATCCTGGAATTCACCACATAACCAAACTAGCCTACAACTCAGAGATCCATCTGCTAATTGCCTCCCAAGGGCTGGGATTAAAGGCATATACCACCACAACTAGTCACTGTTTTGTTTTTTTGAAACAGGGTCTTGCTATAGCCCAGGTTGTGTGGAACTTATAGTACTGCTACCTCAGCTTCCCATGTGCAGGCTGCAGACATTCTTATATTTTTTATTTTAAAATTATTATTTTATGTGTGAGGATTTTGCCTCCTGTTTGTGCACTATGGGCGAACGCCTGGTACCCTCAGAGGCTAGATGATGGCATTGGATCCCCTAGAACCAGAGTGATGGTGATTGTGAGCTGCCTTGTGGTGGGAATCAAACCGGGTCCTCTGGAAGAGCAGCCAGTACTCTTTATCTGCTGAGCCATCTCTGTAACCAGTCTGGATCTTACTAAACTCAGATCATACTTTGTCAGGATCATGCACAGTGATGCACTTTAGCTTTTCTGCAGCTCCTGTCTGAGCCTTCCCTCTACTCAGAAACAATGGTTTTTCAGAGTCAGTGGCCACCCTCATTCGTTTATTGTCTTGCTGAGGACAGGTGGGCTCTAGGCAGTGTTGGGTAGAGTTCATGGAAGCCCAGAAGGCTCTGAGAACAGCTGTGTGGCGCACAAGTAGAGGTCAGAGCAGCTCACTTGGTGTGGAGGCCTACTCCGTCCCAGCTCCTAGAAACCATGTGCACAGTGCTGTACTTCCTGACGCAGTTCCTCTTCCACCACCACTGCTGGAACTTGGGCCAACACTGTGATCTTTGTGCCTTCATCTTGATGTCCATAAATGGGCCATGAAGTAAGCAGTCTTGTTACTGTTTCTTGGTCTGATGGGGGAGGTGGGACTGAACTTAATGCATACCAGATGCTCAATAATCAACAGTATTCTAGAGGAGGGGCTGTTGCTCAGGCACTGACTGGTCAGATACCCCTGAAGTTAACCTGGAGTGACAGCCACAAAGAAGCCAAATGCTTAAGCTACAGGTGACAGTGGAGGAAGTGAGCTTCAGAAATCCTATTACTTGACCCTCCCAGCAAGAAGTTGGGCAGAGCTGGACTGAGTGACCACCTTGATAGTTCATTTCACTTTCAGGGCAGCAGGTGGCATGAGACGCGGGAATATGGGTCACCTCACAAGGATCGCCAATGCAGTTGTACAGAACCTGGAGCAGGGCCCAGTGCAGACCCATATCAGTGAAGTCATCCGAGGTGAGCCCACTACTTTCCTCTCCTTCTGCCCTCTGTCCCTAGCAGTGATAACTACACTGATATGGAACAAACCATGCAGCCTTCTTTGTCATCTTCTCAGTGTAAGCTGAGTGTTCTCTTCATGGAGCAGGCATTGTAGAGTAGATCTCTAGGGCAACCAGAATTATATGATGAAACCCTGTCTCAAAAAAACAAAATAAACTGGGCAGTGGTGACTCACGCCTTTAATCTCAGCACTAGGGAGGTAAAGGCAGGTAGATCTCTGAGTTCAAGGCCAGCCTGGTCTACAGATTGAGTTCCAAGATAGCCAGGACTACACAGAGAAAAAACCCTGTCTTGAAAAAATAAGCAAGCAACCAACTAACCAGACAAACAAACAAATATATTGTCAATATACTAAATTTATTTTTATGAATCTCGGTAAATAAATAAATAAAGCAACAGAACTCTCCTGCCACTGAAACCTCTGTAAAACATTGCCCTGCTCAGGGTTGCTATAGTCTCAGGCCCTGCAGGACATCTGCCTTCTCCTTCGCTGTATTAGGTTTACTTCCCATCTGCAGCCACTGTTTGCCTGATAGGGCTCCTGAGTGCCCTCCTCTGTCTACAGATCCCAAAGACTTACGAGGTAGCACTTACCTTGCAGGGCTCCCTGCAGATTGCCGTGGGCGCTGGGAGAGCTTTGTGGAAGAGACACTGATGGAGACCAACCGCAGGAACACTGTGGACCTGGTGAGGAAGCTGGGGCTACTTCCATGGCACAGCTGCAGCTAAGACCACTGACAGTCCCATGTGCCCCACTCTGCAGCACAGGTGGGGAGGAAAGCACAAGGGCAGCACTGAAATGGGCATGCAGCCCAGCCTTTGGCCTGCAGGGTCACAGCAGAGCTGGCTCCCTGAGGATCTCTTCATCTGCTCCCTCCTACAGCTAGAGCTTATTTGTGAAGGACTCTTTATGCTTGGGACCCAGGATATTACCTGGGTCAGGGAGACTGGGCTTTCTTTCATGGGGCTTTGACCTCACTTGGCATCTCTGCAGTAAGCTGCACAGGCCCACAAGTACCAGGGAGCTGGTGGTGTGGGAGGGTGCTGGGGGTGGGGCCTGGGGCTCTGGCTGGATTGGACAGGGTGGGGTCTGGCTAGCTCACGTGCCCACCCCATCTGGCCTGTGTTTTAGGTGAGCACTCACCACCTTCACTCCTCAAGTGAGGACGAGGACATTGAGGGTACTTTCCCTAACGAGCTGTCCCTTCAGCAGGTGAGGGCATGGCCGGCACTCTGCACCCTGCCGGGCCCTTCTGGAGCCTGTGTCCTTGGTAGTGCTTAGTTTCCATGACATTGCATAGCAAAAGGAGAAAAGTAACTCATCCCCAAGCACATATGGGGGAGAGGGAGGCCTGAGGGGACACCCCCAAAGTCACATCACTTTGGTGAGACTCCTGGGGGCACTGAGCTTGAGAGTTGAGTAAGGAGGTGTTCTTCTGTACACAACTGCTCAACCACTCTGAATGTTCAGCCTACGGGAAAATTCACTGCTTGCTTTGCCAGAGCTCCTGAGCACTAGAGCTCTGGGTTCCAAGGAGCAGCCTCCAGGGCTCACCTTGCTCTGTAACAGCATCCTCTCCTCGCAGGCCTTCTCTGAGTACCAGATCCAGCAGATGACAGCCAACTTTGTGGATCAGTTTGGCTTCAATGATGAGGAATTTGCAGACCAGGATGACAACATCAAGTGAGTGCAGACAGCATGAAGGCTAGGCTCTAGGCTAGTGATTTCTCTTCCCTAAGTTCCCAGTGATCTTGCCAGCAATGGGGTCTACTGTCCCTGAGGAGGTAGTGAATGTCCCACCTACTGTCTGAGGGCAACCAGGCCCACTGGACCAGAGGAGGTACTGAGGGACCTTGTTCTTGCAGTGCCCCATTTGACCGGATTGCAGAGATCAACTTCAACGTTGAAGCCGATGAGGACAGTGTAAGTGATGGGCTCCTGCAGGGTTACAGGGCGTAGCATCATTTTATTCCCCTTGCTCAGATAGCTCAGGCTATGCCCACAACTTGGTCCTTGTCACAGATGGATGGGACCATGGGAGCCCTGGCCAGTCTATTTGTCTGTCAGGACTGGGAGGCATCCCCCCATGGGAGCTGAGACCAGAACTTCCTCCCTTCCTCCTCCCATACTGTCTGTCAGCCTTGTTCTGTGAGCTAAGCCCCTCTGGGAGTTATTTGGAACCCAGGCTTTCCCAGGTTCTTTAGAAACCAGCTCTTTATTCCATCTTACAGCCTAGTGCGGCTCTGTTTGAAGCCTGCTGCAGTGATCGAATCCAGCCCTTCGATGATGATGAGGAAGAAGACATCTGGGAGGATGAGGAGACTCGATGCACTGCCCGGGTGATGGCCAGAGCCAGGTGTGGGGTTCACCCATTCTCCCAAAGTCTCCACCAGTGAGGAGCAAGCACAAGATTAAGCACTGGATATCCAGCTTCTATTAAAGTTCTTGGACACCCAGAGAGGCAGGGACCCTTCTTGCAGAGACCAGAAGCTGGTGGGAGCCAAGCAGTGCTTATCTGTATACCTTGTGCCCAATCTTCCCTGGCCCCAATTCCTGAGCTATCATGGGCTCTCCAGTGTCTAACCAGGGCTCACCAGGCATCTACTACCTTTGTGTCTGCCCAGGTTTGGAGCCCCTCATGTTTTAGAAAATTACTCAAAGAATGCCCTGGAACATGGAGGCCAGGACAGGAAGGCTGGCTTAGCAGCAGCTAGGAATGTTCCTGGATTGGCCACTCCTTCATCTCCTACACAGAAAGAAGGTCCTCGCTCAGAGAGTGATTCAGAAGGTAGTATCCAGCAAGGGACATGGGTTTGGGGGACATGATTTGACTTGTATATCTTATGAGCTCCCTTTGGAGCCATTGTGTGTCTAGCTGTCAGTGACCTACTTCCCCATTTACACGTGGTTTCATTGAATGTTCTGGGGGGTCTGATCATCATGGGTGGGGTTCTGCTCTACAATGAATCAAGAGCAAAGTGTTCTTACTCTCTTCTGTTGTGGTACCTGCATCTGCATTTGCACAGCTGGTGTCTATTGTCATTTTAGGGAAGGCAAAAAGGCATACCCCTATGTAATCTGTATGCTATTGCTTGCCACCCTTTGGATGTACTCAGTAGCATAACCTATCCCATGTACTACCTCTTAAGAGACTCCTTGTTGGGTGATGATGGTGTGTGCCTTTAATTCCAGCACTCAGGAGGCAGAGGCAGGCAGATCTTTGTGAGTTTGAGACCAGACTGGTTTACAAAGTGAGTTCCAGGACAGCCAAGATGATACAGAGAAACCCTATCTTGAAAAATCAAAGAGAGAGAGATCCTTTTTATTGCTTCTGCTTTGGGGTGCTGAGATACTCAGGACACTGGCAAGAACCAGCTTTCTGAAGCCAGCTGGAATTTCCAGCAATTTAGCTGGGGCTGACAAGAAGCTGCAAGGCCAAGGGCAAAAACACCTCACCCAATCTAAGGTTAAGGAGAGAGCAGAGTGCTTGGGACAGGTGGGACAGTACCTTCTTTGTACCATCAGTTTTCCTGGAGGCCAGATGGGACCTCACAGGTACCTGTGAAGCATGGCATCAGCAAGCACTGATGCCTATACACGTGCTCTGTTGTAGTGGATAATGTATCAGGACCCCGGAGGCCCTCACTACCTTTCTGAGGCCATACTACCCTCTGCAAAGGGCCAGTAGGCACCAGCTAGAGAGCCCTGTCATCTCTGACACTTCAAAAAGGGCTCCTCTGGAGTTTCTTAACTGGGAGCATCTTGTCTTCCTGCTGAGCTGTTGATCCCTCTACCCATCTCCATATGATGCTCCTTCTCCCTTGTCTATCATGTCTATCATATACTAGCCCTGCCTGTTCTTGACTGTTGTCTCTCCCCCGGCAGGTACTACATGGACAGCAGTTTTTGATGAGCCAGTGAACCCGATGTCTGCAGCCCCAGGAGCTGCGAGGGATGTGGGTTCTAGTATATGGGCAGCTGGTCCCTCAGCTCCAGAGGAGAAAGGCTGGGCCAAATTCACCGACTTCCAGCCTTTCTGCTGGTAACAAACACATCAGCATATAGAGCTATGCCTGTTGGGTGTCAGGACCAATGTTGCCCCATGGATTCAGTTTGTCCCTATCTTCTTTTGTAGCTCTGAGTCAGGGCCCCGGTGCAGCTCTCCTGTGGATATGGACCACAGCCATGCCGAGGGTGGCCAGAGTCCAGGCCCAGAGAAAGCCTGTGAGTAGCAGCAGCTCAGACACTTGCCTTGTTTAGTTCTGGGGCCCAATGCAAGGCCAGTTCACCTTGGGAAAGTGGGAAGTAGTCAAGGTCCTAGGTGTGACCATGCCTTTGTGGTATCGGGGTCCAGACATACTTGCGGGATTTGAATTGTCATGTCTAAGTGGAGGTCTTCTAGCTTTAGGGGTACAGGACAGGGCAACATGGCCATTAGACTGCCCTCAGAGCCTGGTGTGATCAGGCTGCGCCACCCTGGTCTGAACCCATCTGCATCCTTGAGGCATATTGTCAAGTATGTAGATGAGTCATTGTTGGAAAGCCAATATGGAACCTGATCAAAAAGTCCTTGGCCTCCATCCCCTTCCTTGGCAACTAGACCAGGTTAGAGAGGGAGGGTAATGGCAGTCTCCTGAAGTGCCTTCTGCCTCTGAGAACAGCACACATATACCCTATCTTGTGGAGGGGGGTACACATGGAGGGTACACAGCAATTCGTGTGGTTCCTGTGAACATGCAGATGCACACGTGTACCACTCGTTTCTGCCTCTCATATTTCACCTGGTACATGCAAATTTGGGATCCCTCAAGCCATGGTAGCTGTACACTCTGGCCCCTCTGCCCTCACAAATATCGCAGGGTTCCTTCTTTTGCAGTTGGTCCTACCTCGCCTTGTACCTGGAATGTGTGTGTCACCCGGAAGGCCCCACTGGTAGCCTCTGACAGCAGCTCCTCTGGGGGATCTGACAGCGAAGATGACGAGAAGGCAGCTGGTGCTGTGGAAGCCATGCGCACAGGTCATGGTGGGAAAGCCCCCCCACTACCCAGGACAGAGGAAGCTGCTGCCAGCAGGTGTGAAGGGAATGGCAAGTTAGCCTGGGGGCCCAGTGAATACTGTGGCTTATACTCTGTTCCTATAACTACTAACTAAGAGCCAGGCACAGTTGCCAGATTTCAGGTCTCTGAGAACAAGTGGCGGCCAAGCTGGAATCCCTTGCTGCTGCCCCAGCGGCTAATGATCCTGTGAAGCCATCTCTAGAAAAGACAATGCCTCTTTACTATGGCTGGACATAGTGCATGCTTTCTGTTTTAAGTGATTCATAATAGAAGACAGAACCTGGATTCCCTAGAGCTTGCCAAAAACTTGAAAGGACAGCCTCCACTACAGAGGCCAGTTAGAAAAAAACTGGTTTTCAGGCTCTGGGTTGCTCCAGACAGTGGAGGAAAGGCCTGCAGCCCTTAACTTTCTCTATGGCAAGCTCATGACTAGATCCAGCCAGCCCTCCTCTGCTCTGCTGGTCCTTTGTGGTAGTAGGGCATGTGTGGACTCCAGTTAGGTGCCCTGTACACTCACACAGTAGGATAAAGCATTTCTTAGGGTTGTGGTCTGAGCCCTGGCTGGGAGGTAGAAGCCCAAGTTTCCTTGAAGTGTCTGAAGAAAAGACCTTCATAGCCTCCTTACAAAGAGGCCAGCCTCTCCAGCAAACCCAGTCTAGGGGTTTTTGTTTTTTAAAGATTTATTTATTATGTATACAGTATTCTGCCTGCATGGATGCCTGTAGGCCAAAAGAGGGCACCAGACCTCATTACAGATGGCTGTGAGCTACTATGTGGTTGTTGGGAATTAAACTCAGGTCCTCTGGAAGAGCTGCCAGTGCTCTTAATTTCTGACCACCCCCACCCCCTCTTTTTTCCCATTTTGAGTGGTTAAGATGAGAAGATAGGACCAAGGTGTCCCAGGAGTTGGCTCCAGGGAATGCCCCTTGAGTCACTGGGGTCCACCAATGAACTGATGTGCCTCCTGGCATTCAGGGGCTAGTGTGAAGGGAGCATAGGAGCTGCCTATTGACCAGGATACTGGAAATGGCTTGCAGCTGTACAAAGGCCCTGAGGCAGGACCTCCACCCTAAGTTCAGGGTGTAGTGGAGGAAGTCCCCATTTTGAACCCTACCGGGAGACAAGTTACTCATCTCACAAGACTCTTGACCTTAGCCCCATATGTGGAAGGATTTTGTATCTGCTCTGAATATTACCCATGTACTTTCCAGTCTTGTCCCTGTCTACACTTCTTCCAAGGTTGGCTTGTACCTGACAGTTGGGCACCAGCCAGACTGCCTACCTAGCACAAGTCCACCATAATGCATTCAAGCTGTAGATCTTAGCAGCCCTGCCTACTCCTCCTCTACAAGCACAGAGGGCCCTGCTCACCACCCTGTGTGGTTCTGGAGGGCCCTCTGATTTGGGGGCTTAAATGTTTCCCTCAGAAAAGCTGGGAGCTCAACCAGCTGGAATCCGTGGTTGGTATAACAGTGGTTCTCAACCTTCCCACTGCTGTGACCCTTCAGTATAGTTTCTCATGTTGTGGTGACCCCAACCACCACAAAATGTTTTCATAACTATAATTTTGCTATCGTTATAAAGTATAATTCTAAAGGGGTCACGGCCCACAGGTTGAGAACCACTGTGTCCAGGTTGGGTTCATAGTCACATATTCTGTGCCCACAGCCCCTTGGCTGTTATGTCCAAAGCTCATTGAGCCCCCGACCCAATATTCTAAAAACCCCAGGCAAGACATAACCCTAGAGCCAACACCATACTAAGCTTTGCGGAAAAGTAGAGCCAAGACTTGGAGAGGGGCTCCCACGGTCAAGTGTGATGAGATTAACTACAAGGACAACCTAGTCTAGAGCTCCTTGGGTTGAGAGTACACACAGGCTTGTGACAGTCTTGCTGTGCTGCCTAGAATGGCCTCACCAATTCACAACCTTCCTGTCTCCATCTCTGTAGTGCAAGTGTACCACCATGCCCAACTAATAGCCTGACTTAAAAGTTTAGGATTACGGAGACTTGTAAAACCATAGCCCTCTTTTCCTGAATTCTTCCTAGGGAACTACTTTAAACCTGCTGAAAAAGACAGTTATTCTGCAAAGAAAACCCTTTCCAAGGCCATTCTTGTTAGATGACTGCATCACTGCCAGGTTTTATTCAGCCTTTACGAGAGCTCCCTCCCCCTCCCTTGCCCTGCATCTCATCCGAGCACCCCTGCCTGGGAAAGAACTAGAGATCTTTGCTCTGCAGGCCAGTGGATCCATCTGCTACTTGTGGCTAGACTAGCCTGGCCTTGGGTATGAAGACCCTTAGTGCCTATAAGTCCCTCCCCCAACTCTACCCCCACTTTCTAAAGAAGTCTTACTTTATAGCTCTGGCTGGTCTCAAACTCAGTGACCTGCTTGCCTGTGCCTCCTAAGTGCAGGGCTAAAGTCATGTACCACCATGTCCAGCCCTCTGGGAGCCTTTCCATGGAGTAAAGGTGGAGTTGAATTTAAGCAGATACATTGGGGACTTCAGTAAACAAAGCTCCACAACTGTCAGGATTTGAGTGCTGCTTGTTAGGGAGGACTGAGGTCACCAGAGTCATGTACCTTGTCCCACTGTTTGGGACTCAGAGCCCCAGAGCCACCTGGCTGTAGCTTCTCAGTCACCCCAGAGGAAAGGGGCAGAAAGGAGCTGTGTGTGCTGCACCCATGCCCTTTGCTGGATCAAGCCACTTTACCAGTCATTGGGTGTATGACATAGGCAGCAATGAAGTTGGGACACCCATAACTGAAGCCTATCTGCCACACAGGACTGAGTGTACGGACAGCACCGTGTTAGCCCCTGCCTGCCCTGCATCTCCAGAAGTGACCATCAGTCCTGCTGTGGCCACCACAGCACCAAGCAAGGCAGGTCCTCCTGCAGCCACCGCAGTTGTCTCTTCCTCAGTGGCTATTGCAGTGCCCCCAGGGCCGGTCATGGCGGTAACCACGGCAGCCCCAGCCATAGTTGCCACCCAGGAGACAATGACAAAGGACAGGTGAGTAGGTTGGCCAAAGAGGGTAGGGTGGGATTGGATGAACCCCAAGAGCCCACATGCTTCCAACTCTGCCCTTCCCCATTTATGCAGGAAGACAGATGCCCTGCCAGAAGGAGCTGCCTTAAATGGTCCTGTGTAACTGCTGCCACCAGCTATGGCCCGCCCTGGTCAGGCTGCTTCCTTTATCAAGAAAACTACCTGGTGATGCAATTTTTTTTAATTTAAAATAAATGCTGCATTTGGTAAAGCTGGCAGTTGGAACCAGTTGGATGACCCAACTCACATCTCTCCTGCCTGCCCTTGGTCCTACTGGAAGACAGGGTGCTCCTGGCCATCCCCAGGTCCAGCCCTTGGTACGGCAATGAAGTCCCTGACATGCAGCTTCCACCTGCAGGAGCTGGGAAGGGAACAAGATCCTGAGGTGCCAGCACGATCAGATGGGCAGGAAGGGTGTGGATCTACAGGCTCTGGTTTCACCTGTATTTTTTAATGAACGCATGGAGGAAAAGCCGTTTTTTGCACTTTGTACCCAGCTATACAGTACAGGGTCTCCCTTGGCTCAGGGCAGATACAAAGGCCTGAGTTGGAGAGACCTGATCCCCACAAATGCATGGGGGTCTGGCACTAGTTTGACCACCTAAGGTCAAACCCCAGTTCTAGCTGCCTAGGGTTCCTGGGAGCTGGCACTGAATCAGGCTGCAAATTTTGACTGCCTTAAAAACAAAAGACCCTCTGGACCAGATGGGGTTGTCTTTGTGATCAGCAGGGCGGACTGGCACACTGGAATGGGTGGTTAGAGGTGCCTGGTAGTAGCCAACATCAGCCATGTAAGAGTGAACACAACAGGGCACTGGGAGGCTGAGACAGGGCAGGCCCAGATTGTCCAGGAAGAGTCTCAAAGTCTATGTTGACTTTTTTTTTTTTTTTTTAAATGTTCTGACCTTCTGACAGGGCATCCAACCCCCAATAAAAAGTATCATTCTTACTGAAAAACTGTGTATTGTTAAGCTGCAGATGTTCAGCCACAGCCTCTGTGGACACCCTTGCTATCCCAAATTCATTCACCGTAGTTGGGTCTCATGTTGAAACAGAAATGAAAAGCTCTACTTGAACAGTCAGACTTAACGACATCCATTTTCTCAAGGCTTCCCCAACCCAACTCCAGGCTCATCCTGGAAGTAAGTGACTCAGCCCCAAGGGTCACATTCCTCCCTCTCAGCAGCACCTTCACTTCTGTCTTCAATGGGCCGTGTGGCTCTCCGCCAGCATTCACCTGCTCAGGTAGTAGTAGTGTCTCAGATGCGCCCCCATTTCTGTTTTGAAACCTGAAATGTGCAAAAAAGCAGGGCCTTTCCTCCCCAGAATGTGTCCTACTGATAGATGTCCTGAATCCTGGTCCAACTCAGTTCCAGGGAAGAAGGAAGATCATCCCATGCCCAGCTGTGGGGAACAGAAGTAGTGATGATACAGCACCAGAGCTCATAGGGGCTCAAAGTCACTGGTGGCTTCAACATCCCACCACAGAAGGGTCACGCTTCTGGCATCTTCATGGGTCTTCCCCTTTTGCACCTGCTGCTCACCCCTCCACCTTACACACAGGCAGGGTCCAGATCACCAGTGGTTAACCCTCAATACCAACAGCCATCCTGGGACATTTCTCCAATCTCTGCAGCACCCATACCTCTCTGCCCACCTCCTTCCCCAGCCCTGGCTACAAGTACATGGCTAATGATGTCTGGTTTTGGTGGGGGTCACAGGCAAGTAGGAAAGGAGAGTAGTAACAAGCCCAGCAATAAAAATCATCAACACAATGTCCTGAGATGGGATGGTCAGGGACCTCCATGGTAACCCCAGAGGAGGAAGAGGAGTAGGTATAGACGGCATAAGACCCATGATCTGCGACCTATCGATCACTATGGGTGTTGCCTCTTAGCCACATTTCTGCTTTCCTAGCTGCCTTGAAGACCTTTTCTTCCTATGAGCCCATGTTCCTTTCTGTCCCGGGTGTATGGCCTTTGTCCTTAGGCTTCAGAATAGTTTTCCAAAGTCTTTCACTCTCCCTCTACAATACCCCGAGCCTCCTTGATGTCAACTGATGCTCCAGAGCTATTTGGGTAGGAAAGACAGCTTTCTTCTCTGGCATGGAGGCCTGCAGAAATTGAGTGGCCATGCACTAGCAAGGGTGTCATGAGGTCCCCTCCTTGCAGCAAAGCTGCTCATGACCACAGGACCTTGGAGGAAGATGGACTCAGGTTCCAGAAGAGGCATACGAGAAAGATGGCAACCCTCTGCCCACTCAGCAACCTTTTGCCCATTCAGAAAACCCCAAGGTTGGGACAGAGGAGCCTCTGTGGGCAGACCCACGACACACTGGCTGATGCAAATACAGGAGTGTGTCATTAGTTCTCTCTTTATATAGACTCTGGTTCTAGAAACAACAGCACAGCCAGCCGGCCAGGGCCAGCACACTGATGGGCCGGGTGGGGTGGACTATTTACAAGCCCAATGCAGGGCTGTACCATGGCCGCGTCCCTAAACGGCTCAGCCATGACACCACAATAAGTTAGAGCTGGCCAGGTGGGGCGGGGTGGGGGCTGTACACAAGTGCTGGGGGGCTCAGGGCCTCAAATACTGTCGAGGGCCGGGGCTGTAAACATGGCCGGGGCGGCCCTGCCCACCCCTAGTGGTCTGTAACGACTGGAAGCAGAGCAGCCCGGGCAGGGCCGGGAGGGGTCAGGCATCCGACAGGCAGCTCTGGATCCGGTCCACCCACTGCTGGGCCGAGGGTACATCCTGGGCACAGAAGTTGTAAACGCGACGTGTTGTCTTCACCTGGGAAGAGCAGGTTACTGACTCCACAGACCCTACAACTCCAAGCCCCTTGCCCCAGGTGTTCCCCACCCCTTGGCAGAGGCTCACATCAAAGAAGGCCTTCTCATCAACAGTCTTAGGGGCACCTATGGTGGGTGTGCCAGGTGCCACAGCTTCCACCTCTGCCAGGTCAATGACACCCTTGCATTCTGTGTCCACTCGGTGGTCATAATAACGCAGCTGGGGTGAGGAGTAAGAGGCACAGAGTTAGGACAGGCCTCTTCCATGGTTTCCCTTGTCCCTGCCACTCATAACTCACCTGGTGCTTGGTCTTGTCTAGGACAAACCAACGGGCCTTCCAGGGCTTCATGAAGGCTCCTTTCTTGTAGAGAGTGCCCTCATAGGACCTGCATTTATAGAATCAGAGCTGAATTAACTCTCAAGTGGGGGACTACCTCTAAAAGTTAGATGATGGGTCGGTCCCTATATAGTCATCATGTGACAGACGCTGGTCCCAAACACCAGAACTTTAAGACACATAACACTCTCCATCCCCAAAGAGAAGGAGGAGAAAGAGTCAAATCTATGGAGGTAACCGGAGTAAAATGACCCTTCCAGGCTCAGGGTAGAATGGATCTTGCCTGGCCCCAGTTTCATCTGGTGGTCTTACGGGTACCCTTAGCTCCAGCTCAGCCCTGCTATAGTCACCAGTTCTACAACCCAAACTTCTGATGTTGACCTCTGCTTAGGCAACTGTCATAGCTTCTACAAGTCCTTCTACCTAAAGAAAATACTAAAGCTCCCCAAAGAACCTAGCCCCACTAGAAAGTCATGCATGGGTCTCAGTCCAGAAGTAGCTATGTAGCAGCAGGAGATGCCTCTCACACCTGTTCTCACTTTCAGCTGTCTGGAATTGGCTGTACAGGGTGCTGGTGCTCCGTCGGGCAGCCTGACGAGAGCTGGATGTGGTTGAGCCGCTACTCTGGTCACTGTCCAGGCTGAGGCTCAGAGTAGAGCCCACAGGTCCCTCCTGTAGATACACACCTAATGACCGGCGGTGGTGGGGCACAGTAGACACCAGTAGTGAGCTAGGGGTACCCTGGAGGAAGCAAGAATGGAGTTTTATCAAGGTTGACCAGCCTCCTAGCAACACACATACTTGGTGTTCCTCGGCCCAGCCTACCATCCCCACCCCACTCACACGTCCATCTTGCCGGCCCTCAAGGCGCTGCGCAGCCTTTACCCGGTCCCAGGTATCTTTCCAGCGTTCAGGTCGGCCTAGCTCTGTCTCCAACCGCTGCAGCTCCTGGGGAGAATTAGTGAACAAAAAGAACATCCAGGAGCTGGAAAGATAGCTCAGCAGTTTAGAATACTTGTTCTTAGAAAGGAGCTGGGTTTGATGCCCAGTATCTATATGGTGGTCACAACTATCCGTGGTTCCAGGGATCCAATAGGTAGCTCTAGGAGACTCGACACCCTATTCTGACCTTTGTAGGTACCAGGTATAAGTATGGTACATATACATGCACGCAGGCAAAACAATCATACACATAAGAATTTTTTTTAATCTAAAAAATATTTTAAAATGAAACAAAGAACAGTAAAAAAAACTCCAGACTGGGAGGGCACAATGGCTTACCCAGTAAAGGTGTTTGTCACCAAGCCTGTCAGCTGATGTGCAACCTTAGGACTCGCATGATGGAATTTGAGAACTGACTCCTGAAAGCTGACGCTGACCTTCTGCCCGCACACTAAATAAGTAAATGTAAGCGGGCACTCAGGAGGCAGATACAGGCTAATCTCTGTGAATTACAGGCCAACCAGGGCTCTACAGCAAGATCCTATCTCAAAAGATAAAAATAAAAATGGCATTATATAGTTCACAAGGATATGAATAAACATTGATTTTAGTGTAAGTGAAGCACGCCAGAAAACAATATAACGATATCTCAAAACAGAGTGTAGTGTGTAGGTTTAACCAGTAGTCTCTCAGTGGGGGTGGGGGGCAGAGTGGGAGCTTGAATGTAAAAAGTTGCCACATCTGAATTGTCTTTAGAGAAAATGCCCTTTAAAAACAGCGACATTTGGGCTAAGTGTAGTGGAGTTCAGTGGGAAAGCACTTGCTTCCCACACACAAAGTCCTGGACTCAATATCCAGCACCACTAAGTAACTAAAAAGAAGGAGAAAGGAATGGGAAGCAGGTAGGCAAAACCAGGCATTGTGTTTCTTTCCCATGTAGTTCTAGCTACCTGAGAGGTTAAAATAAAAAGAGGGATCACTTGAGCCCAGGAGTTCAAGGTCAGCCTAGGGAAACACAGCAGTGCCCCCTCTTAAAAACCAATGAGAGTTGAGGTGGTAGTTTACAAATGCAACCCTTAAACTAGAGAGGCTGAAGCAAAAGGATCAGGAAGGAGTTCAAGGCCCTCTTTAGCTACCAGACCTGTCTGAAAGAGTAAAATAGTGGAGCACAGTGGCATTTGCTTTAGTCCCGTACCTCATAGCCAGCCTGGAATAAAGTGTGAGCTCCAGGTCAACTTGGGCTAGAATGAGACCCTGCCTCAAAACCAACATACCAAAATAACAACAACAGATAGATGATAGGTAGATAGATGATAGACAGACAGACAGACAGACGGATAGGCAGGATAAGGTATGTAAACAGCCATGTACCTTGTATGCACACGGCTCAGAGGCAGAGCGCTTCCCATGTACATACAGGGTACTGGACCTGATTCACTCATCTACAACACCACCAAAAGGAAAGGAGGGGTGGGGGACATTTTCAGACAAAAACAGAAGTTTGAGGGAATGTATGACCAGCAAATCTTTATTACAGGAAATACTATATGTTTTTAAGACTGAAAGGAACTGGTATTAGACTAGATACAAACAGGAAAAAAAGTGATTATTAGAAGCTAGACTGAAATATGCCTGCTCTTCCAGCTACTGAGGAGACTGAGGCAGAAGAATCTCAAATTGTAGCCAGCTAGAACAACTTAGAGAGACCTTGTCTCAAAATTAAAAAAAAAAAAAAAACTCAAGTTATAGTTATACCTCAGTTGGTAGAGCACTTGTCTAGCATATATAAGGTTCTGGGTTCAATTCTCAGCACTGGAAAAGAAGAGAGGAGAGGAGAGAAAAGAAAAGATACTGGGAATGTCAAAAAAAATAGCTTTTCTCTCATTTTAAAAACAAAGTTAACAAAATAAAGTGTTATGTGCATTGACGCCATAGAAAAGTTAAGTGGCTGGGAGCTCACCAACTCCAGCTGGGCTGGGAAGGAACAAGCATAGGACTAAACTAGTCCCTCTGAATGTGGTTGACAGCTGTATGGCTGGGCAGACTGAGGGGCCACTGGCAGTGGCACTGGGAATTGTCTCTGCTGCATGTACTGGCTTTTGGGGATCCTATTCTCTTTGGAAGGACACCTTGCTCAGCCTAGATGTAGTAGGGAGGGCCTTGGACCTTCCACAAAGCAAAATGCTTTACCCTCTCTTAGGATTAGAGGGGGATGGGATGGGAGGGTGTGTGGAAGGAATGGGAGGAGGGGAGGGAGTGGAAATTTGGATT